ACTGCCCCCTAAGTTTCTTATCTAATCTTTGAAGTTGCTGTTGTCAGTTTGATCCCATACAGATAGATATTAAAAGAGCATAGTGTTCAAGGCATACATCTTTACTAGTTAAGCTAAACTACTGTTTAAAGAATTCAGGGAATATTTTTGGTTTAAGGTTTAAAGAGTATCTCAGGGCAATGGTTTCAGGGATTCATCCAGCCTCCATGGCACCAGAAAGTCTAGATTCCATGAAAATTTTAAGTTCTGTTCTGAATTTTCCCCCTTTTGATCAGGATTCGTCTATAGAATCTTTGATCAAAATGTTCGGTAGTGGTAGCCAGGCACTGTCTAGTTCTGGTCTCATGGCAAAGGGTGACTGAAGACTCTTTAATTTCTATCTCCAGCTATGGCCTCACCTCAGAGATCCAGAAGTGAATATTCAACTACTTACTTGACATTTTTCATAGGCATTTCAAAACTCCACCCTCCCGCATCCAATCCATCAGCAAATTTCCAAAACCCCAAACCCACTGCCACCGAGTCGATTCTGACTCATAGCAACCTGGTAGGATAGAGTAGAACTACCCCGTAGGGTTTCCAAAGCTGTAATCTTTACGGAAGCAGACTGCCACATCTTTCTCCCATGGAGCGGCTGGTGGTTTCGAACTGCCAACCGTTCATTTAGCAGCCGAGTGCTTTAACCACTGTGCAACCAGGGCTCCTGAATTTAAGAGAATTAAAATCATACACATTCTCTAGCCATGGCAGACTTAAATTAAAAACCAATTATACACAAAAGGGCAAATATCATATGATCCCACTTATATAAAATATCTAGAATAGACAAATGAAAAGAGACAGAAAGTAGATACGTGGTTACCAAACGGCTAGTGGGAAAACAAGGAGTAAGTGCTTAACGGGTACAGAATTTCTGTTTGGGGATGATAAAAAAAGTTTTAGAAATAAATAGCATGATGGTTGCACACACACACAACAAAACAAAAAACAATTACAGTATCTAGGAAAATCCCAAATATTTGGACATTTTAAAACACACTTCTAAATAATAATGAATCAAAAAAGAAATGTCAAAGGAAATTAGAAAATATTTTGAACTGAATTATAATGAAGATACAAATATCAAAATTCCTGGAATTCAGTTAAGGTAATGCTGGAAGGAAAATTATAACTTTAAATGTTAGTATAACAAAGAACGATCTAAAATCAGTCACCAAAGTTTCTACTTTAAGAAGCTAGAAAAAGAACAGCAAAGGGAACTCAAAGCAAGCAAGAAAAAGGAAATGATACAGAACAGAAATCAGCAAAATAGAAAATAGACCAAAAAAAGAGAAAATTAATAAAATTAAAAGCTGTTTCTTTGAAAAGACTGACAAATCCTCAGTTAGACTGATGAAGAGAAAAGAGAGAGAACACAAATCACCAAAGTCAGGAATTAAAGTGGAGTTAGCACTAGGGATCATACAGACACTAAAAGGAGAATAAGAGAATATTTATGAACAACTTTATGTCACTAACTTTGACAACTTAGATGAAATGAATAAATTCCATGAAAAAATAATTACCACATTTGACACTAATGAAACACAAAATTTGAATAGCCCTATATGTTTAAGAGAAGTTGAATTCATTACCAAAGACCACTTGAAGTCCAAGTGATTTCACTGGTGAATTCCATTATACATGCTAAGAAGAATAACACCTATCTTGCCCAGATTTTTTTCAGAAAATAGAAGTGGAGGGAACACTTCCCAATTCATTTTATGAGACCAGCATAAGCCTAATACCAACCCCTGAAAAATAAAACCACAAACAAGCCATGGACTTGGGAATTAAAAACCACACTTCAGAATAAGTGTGGAACGACAACAAAAGCCTATATAAAAACCTGTAAGACGTGACAAACGAAGTACTTATAAGTGTGCAGGGTTATCTCAGGAATCAAAGGATGGTTCAGCGTTTGACAATGTGTCATTATAATTCATTACACCAACAGAGGAAAGGAGAGAAGCAATAAGATCATCTCAATGTATAGCAGAGAAAAGTATTTGGTATTCATCACTTATTTAAAATTTATGACAGAAATTCTTTGTCATAAAACTTTTTAAACTCCATAAAGTATATACATATTTAAAAAACCAAACTCGTTGCCGAGTCAACTGCGTATCATGGCAATCCCATGTAGAACTGCTCCTTAAGGTTTTCCATAAAGTATACCTACCAGAAAATTACAGTAAATATTAAAGGTTACACCTTACAAACATAAAGATGAAGTGGACTGACACAAACTAATGTTAGCAGATATCCAAATTAAACTTTTGAGTAAACAAAGGGAGCTGCAGATACTTACAGTAAATGTTTTATTTTTAAAACGCAAAATACCATGTATTTTCTACAGGAACATACACAGGTATGTAAATGCATAGAAATAAGACAGACAAAAATATCAGTCTGGTCACTTCTGAGGGGAGGTAACAAGGTCCAGAATTGGTGGAAATACAGGGTACAGGGAGGCTTTAGCCTAATCTACCATGTTTCTGTTTGTTATAAGAATGTTTTTATTAATTACTTAAGCCAAAACCAAACCCATTGCTGCCAAGTGGATTCCAACTCACAGCAACTCTATGGGACAGAGTAGAACTGCCCCATTGGGTTTCCAAAGCTGCAAATCTTTACAGAGACTCCCTCATCTATCTTCTTCATAGCGGCTAGTGGGTTCGAACAGGAGCTGAGCACTTTAACCACTGTGCCGCCAGGGCACCTATATTAACTACTTAGATAACTAAAAATTAATTTTAATACTATACATTTTAAAAACACTAAAATATGTACAAATACTGCTTTTTTTTTTTTTTTTTTTGATAAGCACATTAGTTAAGGATTCAACTAGTGCTTTTTGGTTCTTTTTAAGTTTGGGGACTATAAACCTTTGAATGCCATCCTGGAAATGAATTGACTCCATGTAGCAAGCCAGGTAAATCTGAATTATGTCAAACTACCAAACACAGCATGTGCGTGCAAACCCTCTAGAGTGTGGCAATATCCTATATGATATTAGAGTAAAATAGACTGTGGCAGATATTTTTTCTTTTCTTTTATTCAATTTTGGAACAGAATAAATTAGTCCAGAGGCCTGAATTTTCACTAGGTCTAACCTGTTAAATTTAGATAGTAGGTTAGAATTCACTCTCACTTTCAGGCAAAGATTAGGGAAACAGACTTTCCAGCCTGAGGAAATGGCACTAACACATTCATTTCTTAATAAACACTTGATTTGAAGATGGCTGAGGGATTCTTAGAGTTTGTCCCCACTGGAACCGAGCTTTGTCCAAATTTGCCCTAAACACACGCATGTGTGCATGGTGGGGAGGAGCAGTTGTAAAAATCACTTCATATTTCACCTATGGAGGGATATTTCCTACCTAAAGTCTATGAGGCAGCATTACCCTAATACCAAAATTAGACAAAAACATTACAAGAAAACTGCAAACCATTCCCTCATGAACATAGATGCAAGACTTCTAAATAAAATTTTAGCAAGTCAAACCCAACAATACATTAAAACGGTAATACACACTGACCAATTCTTTTTGCAGGTGTATACGTATGTCAAAACTTACCAAATTGTTCACATTAAATATGTGCAGTTTGTTGTATACCAATTATACCTCAATAAAGCTGTTAATTTTTTTTTTACCTATGTAATTTTGCCTTCGGGTGTTTGAGAGAATGTAAGAAAAACTGGAGTAAAAACAGAGCATCTTCACATTTTATTCTTTTATATTATGTATACGTATTTGCAAAACCCCCAAATTAGTAACTTTTGGGGACACAGATTCACTCTGATGGAAGGGCCTCATGTCTAGGTAGGCCTGAAACTCTTGCTCCAGAAAACCCAGCTGCTGAGAGAACCGAGACAGGAGAGGCAAACGTTGAGGAAGAGGAGGGAGAGCTATGCAAAGACAGGGGATGCTGCAGAACATAGATGATCAACGAAATCAGTAACCTGTAACAGAAGGCCTGGGGAAGCCGTGAGGAAAAGTCTAGATGAAACTTCATGATGCGTTCCTCGAAGGCAGGATGCCCTTTGAATCCCAGTGACACTCGCGCACAAGGGCTAAAGTGTGAAAATACACGAGTGAAGGGACGGAATAAAGCGGCCTCCTTCCAGCTCTGCGGAACTCTACTTCAGCGAGCTGAGGTCAAGAAAGGTGAAGGTTGGCGGCCAGGGGCGAGAGGAGCCGGGGTTGGGTCTCTGAGGGCGGCACCGATGGCGGCGACGGAAGAGGCGGGAGAGGGCGGCCTCCGTTCCTCCCCGGCCGGGGCGGGCCCGAGACCGCGACCCGCCACTCCCGCGCCATCCTCGTCACGGCGCCGCGGGACAGCCATGCCAGGCCGCCTGCTGCGAGGCCTGTGGCAGCGATGGCGCCGATACAAGTACCGCTTCGTACCCTGGATCGCCCTGAACATTAGCCACAACCCGAGGTGAGAAGGCCAGGCCAGGGGCTTCTTTCTTCAGTCTCCCGACACCACAGTGGCCGCGGGGCCCGAGGTGGCCGGATCCTGAGGCATTTGAAATCTGAAGCGGCCGAGGCCACAGGCGGCCGAAGGGCGGGAGGCGGCCCAGGGTCCAGAGGAGGGCGGGGCCCGAGGTAGGCAGAGCCTGAAGCTCCCTCGGAGTCTGAGGCCGAGGCGATGGGGCCAGCGGCGGGTGAGACGTGAGGTGGGCGGAGCCCGAGGTGGGCGGGGTCACACAGGGCGGAGCCAGAGCTGAGCGGAGGCCGAGGTAGTCGGAGCCTGAAGCTGGTGGAGTCCGAGGCAGGCGGGGTAAGAGATGGGTGGGGCCTTAGGGGGCGGAGCCTGAGGCGGGCGGGGCCCGAGGCTGGTGAAGGCTGACGCGGGCCAGGGCGAGAAGCGAACGCGGGGCCTTAGGTGGGCTGGGCCGAGACGCCCATTTCCCAGCGCCCCCGGCGTTACGGGGCCTGCGAGGCCGGGGAAGAGGGGTGCGCTCTGCGAGTGATTTCTCTTTCACCCGACCGTACCCGCTGGGACGTCTGACGCCACCCTGTATCTTGGCAGAACTCAAACTCTTAAACAGGAAAGCCCGTCCCGTGTGAGGGTGTGTGGCCTTTTCTCTACTAAGACATAGTTAGGACTTCTACTTCCTCAGAAAAGCCAAACCGGGGTTTATTTTCACAGCCCCGTAGAAGTATTTTATGTGGGGAAAGCAATCCAACTCGGCTGGGAGGATGAAGGCTTGGAGTAGTTAACGCATGAAAGCCAGCGTAAAGCAACTAAAAACACATCGGAGTGTTAGGTTTTTATAATACAGGGTCCACGCCATGAAGGGAAACGGTAAAGCTGTCCCGTGTGAAGGGATCTAGTTGAGGGATGTTGCAGGGGGCTCAGTGTAACTGCCGGCTTTGTATGTGGTGTGCTAACGATCTGGAAGAGTGCGCATAATGCTCACTAAATATGCGAACACGTCTCTGTTAATAACCAAATTTTCCCGAAGTTTCATACTGCGGACTTAAAAATTAAAAGCATTATTTCTGTTGGCGGGAATTGTTCTCTCTTGGGTTTAGAAGTAACAATAATACAATTAGGAAAATTAAAATGATGTAGTCATTAAAGAAGTAAGTACTCGGGTGAGAATGTAACAAAGTAGTGTTGACTTAAATTTATCTCTGAAACATCTATAAAAAGAGCCATCTCAATGTGATGATTCTCATTATGTGATAATATTCAAGTGGCTGTTGTGTAGTGGGGAAAAGAGCTGAGCTCTGTTTCTGCTTCTGGCTCTGCCACTCACCAGCTTTAGGATTTGGGGCAAGTTCCTTAACATCTTCAAGCCACTGTTTCCTTGTCTGCAAAAATTAGCTAATATATGTAAGACGCGATGGCATTTGTCACAGAGTGAGCCTTTCATAAATGTTGCTGTTGTTAGCTTGTGTGGGTACTGCTGGGAGTTAGGCAACTAGAGCTATCCCAGACAATTCTTTTCCGAACTACTTTTGTTTCAGTTACAAGAGACTAATCTTAAAATTCTTTAAGGCCAGTAGCCCAGAAAGCATCAAGAAAGTCTGGCTTTTATGAGTTGAAGGGTAGTGAATAGAAAATTCTCCCATTTTCAGGACCCTCCGATATGTTCCAGAGGAATCCAAAGACAAAGTTATATCAGATGAAGAGGTCCTAGGAACATTACTGAAAGTTTTCCAGGCTCTATTCTTAAATGATTTCAATAAACAATCAGATATCTTGACTGTGCTTCCAGAACCTGTTAAATCGAAATATCAAGACTTCCTGGCAGTTCAGCATCAAAGAGAGAAATTGCTTGAAAACAGACATCAACAGCAAAGTATCTTTAAACCAGAAGAAGTTCTTTATAAGACATTGGGTTTCAGTGTTGCCCGAGCAACTAGCTCATTGATTTCTGCTGGAAAAGGTGTCTTCGTTACTAAAGGATTTGTACCAAAAGGCGCGGTTGTATCTATGTATCCTGGTAATGGCACAATTAGTACTTTGCCAAGAGTTATTGTATACAGATAAATATAAGTTCAACAAAATGCTTAAATCTGTAATCCTCAGAGTAAGGGGTTGAATTGGAAACTAAAATTTCCATAGATCTTTTTAAATCCTAATTTGGAAATTTACTGTTTGTAAATTGTTATTCTTAGAAAGTATTCTGGAGTATTTGTTAGGATAAATGCATTTTTCTTTTAAAGAAATTTTTCTAGTCAATGTTTAAATTAAGGAGAACATGTCCTACTTTGATAAGGTAGATTATTTATAAAGCACTAAAGGATAAATCAGTTTGGCTTAGTTAATTGATAACTAAAGGTAAAGATATGATATGGGTCAAAACATGAAAGAATTTAAACCTGTCAGTTACTGAATAAAGACCATTCTGTCGTTACTATACTTGGAAAGTAAAGCAGCTTCTTTGCAAAAAGTCATTGACTGTTGAATGCATAATAGAATATGTTATTTGTTAAACTAACATTATGTTATTTGGCATGGTAGAAAATGTCTATGAATATGGAAGTCAGATAGACTTAGGTTTTAAAAAGTCACTGTGCTCTTTTTATGTCTGTAAGTAAGGGAATGTCTGTTTACTCATATACAACTCACCTATTTACAGGTTCTATTTAACCTATAAAGACTAAATAGAATAAGCCAGCAAACAAATAATAAAATATATTGACAGATAAGCATAACTGGCATGTGGGAAGCATCCAGAAAATATTTTCTCTTTTCCTCCTTTGCCAGTGATAGGAGAAACAACCTGAGTGTCAGACTCATCTATTCTCATATATGTCTACATTATTTAATTGATTATTAACAAACCATATTTCTTAAAGTACTCTTTAATAGATGTCATATCAAACTCTGCTTTTTAAAAATACATATGGTTGTGTAAAACCAAGCCTAAAATGTGATGTTTACATTATCGTTAACCAAGATAGTCATATTTGATTCTGTTGTGTGGACATGTTGGTTCTGTGCTCCCTTTGCTATTGGGCACTCTATAAAGGGAGAAAATAGCCAAAGAAAATGTGATGGTCTAGACTGGAGGTAAAATGTTAGAAAAAGAGGAATTAAATTCTTCCATTTTATGTTTATATTCTAGAGAAAGGCCCTTATCATGATGTTTATCATTTTTACATGTTGCTTTGTCTTGTTGTATGTAATAGGTACAGTTTATCAGAAGTATGAGCCAGTCTTTTTCCAGTCCATTGGAAATCCATTTATTTTTAGATGCCTGGATGGGGTACTCATTGATGGAAATGACAAAGGAATATCAAAAGTTGTATACAGGTAAGTTGATGCCCATGTTCAAATTTAATTATAGGAGACAGAACCATACTTCCTACAATGGCTATGACCAGTAGTATTTGTATTTTAAATAAAAATCTATTTAGGTAACTGCTGTGTAGCAACTCAGTCGCCCTATTGATTAGACAATTTTTTTTTTAAGATAAATTGCACCTTGCTTAGTTCGAGGGCTAATTTTGTATTTTTGAATTCAATTTTAAGATACAGAAGAACAGTCCTTAGCTAATGTTTTCACCTGTTTCAGATCTTGCAATGGGAGGGACCAGCTTGGCCCTTTAAAAATGAGTGATAGTACATGGCTAACTTCAGAAATGCATAATCCACTGGCTGTAGGACAGTATGTCAACAATTGTTCAAATGGTAAGTTGGCATCATGTCTGTATGAGACTAAATGTAAATATGACAGTGGTTAATTCTCCTTTGCCATTATGACTGAGTGCCAGAAACAGGTGAGTTTAATATCTGAGCTGTTCAGAGCCCTTAAATAACTATAACTTTTTGAGGGCAGATATCACAGGGAAAATTGGGGGAAATGATATATATTAACTGAAATTTTAAAATTTACTATTTTGTGATTTTGCAGTGACTATAGGTAATTGATAACAGTTATCCTTTTGATCATTATTATTTTAGCATTTGTTTTATAGTTAACGGAGAGATTATTTTGTCAGGGGCTCAGTATAGCCTTATAGAATAATCACGAGACTGGTATCCCCTTTCTGTGGGTGTTTGTGAGTCACTTAACTTCTCTAGGACTTGGCTTTCCCATAAGTAAGAGTTTGATCGTCTGACTATGTTTAGCATAGGCTTTGGTGTAAAAAACAAAACCAAACCCATTGCCGTCAAGTTAATTTCAACTCATAGCAACCCTATAGAACAGAGTAGAACTGCCCCATAGGATTTCCAAGGAGGAGCTGGTGGATTTGAACTACCGATGTTTTCGTCAGCAGCCGAGCTCTTAACCACTGTGCCACCAGGGTTAGGGAGACATAAATTTGAAGACTGACTCTTCTACTTAACCTTTAACCTTTCTGAGCCCTTACTTCTTCCTGGTCTCAAAAAAGTAAATAATGAAGTTTATTTCAGAATATATATGTGTGTATGTGTGTGTGTATTAATTTTAAGCATGTTCTGTTAAGTTAGAAAACATACATAAAGTGTCATAATCCAGTACTGTTTTCTATGACCTTGTATCATCACTGTGTTTCTAAAAGTTATGTGTTTTCTCTAGACAAAGCGGCTAATGTCTGTTATCAGGAATTTGATGTGCCTGCAGTTTTTCCTGTAGAACTGAAGCAATATCTTCCAAACATTGCCTACAGCTACGACAAACAAAGGTTGGTCTTCTACAAGAGCAGTTCCTATCTTCTGCCTTATGCTGTACTTAAAAATTTTTTCTCAGAAAAAGCTATATAGAAATTAAGGTGAGATTTTGAGTGAAAAATTACAAGTAACTTAGATTTTGATGTTCATCATACTTTAATGTAGACTTATTTCAAATTATACAATGTTTCCATTAACCTGACTCATTCTGCTTATTATTACCCATTTTTAGTCTGTGTAGTACTTCACAAGTATTAACCTTAGTTTTTTTTTCCCAATCGATTCTGTTGTTTTTCCTAGTCACAAAATCTTCTAATATATTTTTACTTTAATCAATTTAAGTATCATGTTCTCCACTTCACATGAGAGCACCCAGTTGAAGAAGAAAGGGGTCAAATTACACTATGTACTATTTCTTTTGCCCATTTCACTATTAAGGTTTTCTAACCTAATAGTGAAAAAAAAAATAGATACATCCAGAAGATACATATTTTCAATATAACATACATTTTCTGTTCATTAAGTGGGAAGTGTACTGAGAATATGCAAGTAACAGTTTTAAAATATAAGTTATTCTGTAGAGTTAAGTGTTCTCTAGTAACATTGCTATAGGAAGATAGTATCTTTATATCATTGCACTGAGCTGTCAGTTGCTAGCAAACTTTATTTTGTGGGTGTTCTATTAAATTGGCCTTTTAAGAAATGAATGATGTTTAAAATTTGGACTATTCCCTATACTTAACACTTGATAGCTTTGTGTGTGTGTGCGCGTACGTGTGTGTGTTTAACAACTAGGTCTTAGCCACATACTCTGGGGTCTAATGTCATTACCATTCAACAGGTAGAGGAAAAGATAAATGAGTGGGAACATTGAATATATACATATAACAGTATCTTATTTTTTCCAGAAAAAATTAATTTTTTTAAAAATTTCATTTTAAGTAATGTTTCCAGCTTTGCAGAACACAAAGAGATAATTAATAAAAGAATTTTAAACTATAATGTCATTTTAAAATCCTGTTTGTAGTACCAGTTTTGCGGGCCTGAATATATAAATGTTTTCGGAAGAGGTAGCCAGTTATATAAATGTATTGATTTGATTTGTGGTCTTTTTAAATGATATAGAATAGACATACTCTAGAATAATTCCATCAGAGATTTACTCATGGAAATCAAATACATAAACTAAGATGATAGTAAGGAATCTGAGTAGAGAGAAACTTACATCTATAAAACCCATATTGATTATATTAAAAATATGAGCTTGTATCTATTAATAATTCTAACTTTTGTGTATTTTTCTCTTTTTGTTTTCAGCCCACTTCGATGTGTTGTTCTTGTTACACTAAGGGATATCAAGCAAGGAGAAGAGCTTTTTTCAAATTACTACACAATTGTCAGCTAACTTTGTCATTCAGAAATTAGGTTTTTGACTCAGCTATCGAGTTAACTCTAAGTATTTTTTGTTAGTCATTTCTCTGAGTTCCATCTGTAGAACAAATACTTTGAGACCTAACTGGAGTAGAAATTCTGTTTTTATTGATACTGTATTTGTTTCAATTCCATGATAAAAGCTATTTGCTTCCTTACAATTTCAAATTTGAAATGCAGTTTCAATTTTAATTGACTTTCACCTAAATACACAGTAACTCATTAAATTAAAACCTACGGTATGAGTTTATAATTTTAGTTTTTCATTGATTTTGTCTATCTCTTTGGTGCTTTATTAAATTATAGTTAAGCCATCAACAATTCTTGCAGTACTGTTTGATGTGTACAAACTGCTGTGAAAACTTTATTTTTACAGATAAACTGAAGTAAAAAGAAAATTTATTCTAAAATAGAATTTGTGTTGCCATCAGTAAATTGGTGTGTGTGTGTTTCATCTAATTTAAAGATTGTTCTATCTTGATAAGGGGAAAATGTGGGGTTATACTATTTTCTCTACTCTTAATTATTTTATTTAAGCATTTCACACATCATTTAAAAAAAGAGCTAAAAATGAGGAAAGAGATCGTTTTAGCATGGGAATATAGATGGTGTTGGTGGAAGAACATTTACTCCTTGCTTCTCATGTTTCCTTGTGGTGGGCTTCTATTAGTAGGGCTCCTGCTGTCTCTACCCATGGGAGAAAGAGTGACTTTCTGAGAGTATCTTTGGAGAGCTAGGCACCAGTGCCTCACACCCTTCTAGTTCCTTCTCTGTGGATCTGCCTGCCAGCAGGATGTATCCTGGGCTGCTCTCTGCCCCCGCGGGAAGAGGCCTGTAACTAGCCCAGCCAGTGAACCAGTGAGCCTAATTCAGAGGTGGAATATTAGTGAGCCGACCAGGCCACAGGTCTGAAGCCACCTTCTCCAGAGTTTTGTAGTAATAATTACTTTGATTTCCATTGACCTGCCTCTTGCATCCAACTCTCAGTTCTAAACTTGGATGGGGAGGAGGGTATGTATTGAGCCCCTCAAATCCTAACATGGAATCTGTATAATCAGAATTTAACCACTTCTGACCACCTTCACTGATAAGCTACCAGCTTTTTTCACCTGGTTTATTGCAATTTCAGTAGCCTCCTAATTGCCTTTCCGTTTACATTCCTGTTCCCCAACCTGTATTATAGACTAGATCACTAAGAGTGATCCTTTAAGAAATGTAAGTCACATCTTAATATGCTTCTGCTCAAAACCCTCCAATGACTCGTTTCACGGAGTAAATGCCAACGTCCTTCACGTACATGATCTAGCCACTCATTATCTCTGATCTCATCTACTCTCCCCCTTGTTCACTCCACCTGCCATACTGGCCTCCTTGCTGCTCTTTGAACCTGCCAGGCACACTCCCACCCCAGGGCCTTTGCACTTGTTCTCTCTGCCAGGAATGATCTTCCCCCAGATACCACAATTTGTTCTGTTACCAAGAGACCTTGCCTAACCACCTTAAATTTACAGTCCCCCAACTCCCACCTCTGACACTCCTTATTCTACTACCTTATTTTTCTCTGGCATTTATCACCATCTGACATACATTTTACTTGTCATCTCAATAGTGTACCCGATGGAGTACTAGTGCCTAGAACATCTTTCAACAAACAGTTGACAATACTTGAATGTATGAGACATAGTTTGTCCCAGTATCTCTCATTTATTTGCCTTACAGTTTAAGGCAATTTTTTGTCATTAAATCAGTAGTTGTTCAAGTAGTCTAAGGTATAAGCTGATACAGAAGGGGCCTCCCATTTGACACTTGGCATGTGCGTGTATACACATCCATGAGAGTATTTCACTTTTTTGATTGTCTTTTGTGTCACCAAAAGCCTAAGAAGTCAGAGGGGCTCATCTTGTAGAGAAACCAATCTACTCTATCAAGAAAACTGTTACCTGACTTGGTGAGTAAGTACTAAGGGAAGGGCCATGGGGGATACAAAGAATAAAACATGGTTCCTGCCCATAAAATGCTCACAGTAGGAGTATAAAGCTTGCCTAGTACCATGACTTGCTCTGGGCTGTAGGGGTGCAGTGAAGATATTTTTAAAAACAGAACACTGATATTTTGAAAATTAAAATAGCCATTTTCATTTTTTCAGACTGATTTTTTAGATTTATAAATGGCAGATTTCATTTCTCACATGCTTATGAAATGCTTATCCTACATCAGAAAATACCTTTGTGACAGTAATGGCTTCACCTCCTTGTAAAAACATAACTCTCATCAAGATCAAGGTATACACACGGAATCTCTCTAAAGTGAATGTCAGCTGTTGTATATTAAAATTACAAAAAATTGAGTCTTCCTTGTCTAGCACCACAAATTCAGTGCCCCTTGTGCACTGTTTTGTCACAGAGAACCCACAAAGACACCAACAAGAGAGGATTGTGATTAAGGATCAGTTATTTGGACGGGAAATGGTAACCAGGGCTATATCCCAGGGACTAAATTAAAATGAAAGTGTATATGATGAGATGTCCAAGTCTGCAGATGCCATGAGGCCTTTGAGAAGTCAGAGAAACATCTGGTTCCAAAAGCATACCACTGATGAAAATTAATGATCAAAATGGACAAGGTCTGGAAGTCACTAGAGATTATTCTGCTTCCAGGAAGCTGCTGCTCCCTCCCTTAAAAGCCTGAAGTACCATGTAGTGCTCATATAGCACTTGCTGCATTCTTGGCTGTATCCACAATACTTGTGCTTGTGCCCCCTCTGAAAGCACTTCTGTGCATCTGTGTCCACCACAGATCCCTCACGGTAAGGCCCTCAGGTGGTGGTGAAGGAAGGAAAGTGGTTTTAGACAAGTAACCAAGGCAAAGGAGTCAAGGTTTTTGTTTTCCTGTTATCCTCTTCTTGCCGTTGTACAACATCTGGATATTATACATGTACAACACCTGATCGACTAGATTGGTTTCACTACAAGATGAGCCCCTCTTGTAGAGATGAGTCTGATCACTGCATATTAATGGAACTAGAGGAAGCTCTGGTGAAAGCAAATGAAATATGGGGACAAACTTGTGAAATAAGGCTAAAATATTCTTTAGCTTAAAAAGATAAAGGCTTAAGGAAGATATTAACGAGTCCATAAAACCAAGATTATTATAGATAAGACTAGTTCGCCATAAATACATTCTGTCGAATAAAAAATTTTCCAATTTCAGATATCGTGACTTCCTAAAATGGATGGTTGCCTAGAATGCTGCCTGAAACACAAGAGATATTCAGTCAGTGCTTCCTGAATGAAACTAAAAGTATAATCCTCATTTTGGGACAGTAAGAGTCTTATTATAGATGGAAAACTATTATAGATTTAAGAAAAACTTATTTTATCTACTGACCTCATTACTTACCCATCAAATATCTTATTTACTACATCTAAACCCAACTTAACAGTGGTAAAGTATCTACCCATGTGGTATAGTTCAAGACTATTTGTGGCAAAGACTCACACGAACCAAGAAAAAAAAAAGATTTCCAGATTTTTATTTCTGGAACTGTACACCAGGTATTAAAGTACAACAAATACAAAATAATGCTCAAAAAAATCAGTGTTTATGTACAAATATTAAAATCAATGCAACATTAGCAACTTCCTCTTGAACATCTGATACTAAAACTTGTTCTGATTGTCACTAATTTATCTCATACTCACAGGGTACTTATTTCAAACTGGGACAATTGGAATCACTGGTCATCTAAGAAGAATATTAATATCTACCATATTTAACAATAAAACTAATAGTTTCCTTCTAGTGAAAAAATTAGGAACTTTTTAAAAAACATAGTAACGTCAATATTTTTATAAATTATTTCAGTTTCCATTTGTAGACAATGTGCTTTGAAACTCTGGGCAAACAATCTCCTTGGTGGTCAGGTTTCTTCATTAGTTTACATTCAAAGTTGAAATATTCACTAGAGACTTTGGTTAAATTAAATAGTATCCTACGCTCTATTAGATCTGACATTCTCAAATGCTTATGACCCTCAATTTCTAAAAATTAAAAAGGAAACAATTGCACAATTCTTTGACCTAATTGTACACACTTTAGTAAATTTTTTAAGCAGTATTCTACATCCTTCAAGTAAATTCAGCAGTTGACCATGACAAGAGGAAAACTGAACATTTAAAAAGCTAGAATGAAAAAGATGAGAAGTATGACTAACAAAAGTATTGCTATAATCACAGCACCAGTTACATTTCTAAATGAATAAGCTGTCCTCTTCAAATTCCCTGTACATAAAAGATACATCAGCCAACACTGCAATTGCTCACCATGGATTTTTGGTTTGTTCATATGAAAATAATGTAGCAAAGGGAAAAAAAACAAAAAAAACAACCCAAAAAGAATTCATCACAGTTTGTTATAAGAATTGTGCTTAACACTTGATAATAAAGGCATTATTGTTTCTTTGTATGATTGCAAATTGGCTAGTTTCATGCTCCCAAACGCAATTCTTTTAATAAACAGTAACAAATTCTCTGTTAAAATGCTAAAACTGAGAGGAAAAAAAAAGCGCCCAGTAAATCCAGCTTTTAAAAGAAAATTCAATAAATAGCTATTTTACATGGATAAAGTCATAGTGGTACAATTATGAATGTCACATCAAGCATGCACAAAAATGGTATATTATACACGGCAGAAGTAGTCAGAAAATATTGAATTAGATCTAAAAAGATAAGAAGAATTTACACATATATACAAAAATCTTGCAAATTATTGCCTCATTCTAACAAGGAATTAAAAGTAAACGTTACCAGCTAGCTAGCACTCTCTGAGAGGCTAAAAATCAGGTTGGCATTTAAAAATCTATTAAACTAGCTGGAATTTATTTTTCTCTCATACCATTTTCTGGATTTTGGTCAAAAATCTTTATTAAATAACTAAAGTGTCCATTCAACTTGCTGATAATCCAAACTTTAGATAAGAAACACCGTTTCTATCTTATATCAAGATCCCAGCAATGCATAGATAAACTGAATATATTACTGCATCAGCTACTGAGAATGGGCATGTTCATTTAAGTGCAACTGGTATTAGCATTCAGTCATCTTTGTGTAAATTATTTTATACAAACCAGCCATTGTAAACCCAGAGTCAAAAGTAAAGTTACAACAATGGAAGATTATGGCCAGTATCTTACTAAATTACAGAAAATGTACTGATTTTTAGCACAAGCAATAAGGTTCAAAGTTTAGCACAACAACACAGCAATAAGAAGCTGACAACTTGGATGAAATTATCAGAAAGCAACACAGGGCCCAGGCTACCCATTATTTACTGTGTGCATACAAGAATGCTAGACTTTAGCTGTATAAATTAGAGACTGATTTTAAGTTATTAATTTAACTACTTTTGTCCACTGCGCTAAACTAAATGTGCTACTGCGTAAACACTTCAAAGCAATCTTCATTAAAATTCTGCAAAGGAAAACAAGAATAAACATCATCCAAAACAAAGGATGTCATTGCAGTTCACAGTTTGTATAATAAATACCCTCCCTTTCAATCACTAAGGTTACTACATCCTATCTACTCATCAGCACAACCTTGAAGTGACTTAGAAATATCAGCAATGCAGCCAAATATTTTAAGTTTTTTGCAAAGCAACACAACTAGTAAAAATCAAAATTTTTAATTAAGATGGTGAAAAAACAAAAAAAGTAAAATTATGTTTTAACTGTACTATAAAAGCAAAGCTTATTATATCCTAATACTGTATTATACATTGTTTGAATTCACCTTATAACTTAAAGATGCATGGCCATAGAGCAAAATGGCCAAAGTTTATGACAATGGCTTCTTATTCACAATGTTTGGAATAAAAATAAGTTTGAGATGCATCTGAACGTCTATCACTTTTTAAAACTTAAAGTGGTTAAGTACCATTCTATTTCAGATAG